CTTCATAAGGAAGCTACCATGTAACTGTCTTAGTCCCCACATATGACTTGTAGCCTTCAAAGAAGTTGATCATATCTGACCATAGAGGAGTAATTCTGGACAGCCGTGGGTACCTCATCCTTACTAGATAATTTAAAGTCTTATTCACTTCATGAATCACCCTATTGCAAGAAATTGCACCACCATACTTCATCTTATTTCTCCTCTTCCAAAGTTCCCATGTGATTACAGCTGAAGCTGCCTGATATAATGGCATTTGTTTAAGACAACACTTTGCATTCCACCATGTTCTTATTACTTGATGCACCTGTACCAGATTGACCACTAAACCTGATGCTTGAAGGAAGTTTCTCCATACTCTAGTTGTAGTTTCACTAGTTAGGAACAAGTGTTGAAAAGTCTCTTCTTGCGGTTGTGAACAACACCAACACTTAGACACTACCAAATACCTACTTCTTCTCCACAAATTGTCAGTAGGAATCTTCCCCTTCCACAATCTCCATAAGAAAAATGGGATTTTAAAAGGTAGACCTTTAGTCCATATCTTATTGTAGTTAGGATTTACATGATCTATATGCCTCAAAATATTCCAAGCACTACTAATAGAGAAATTTCCTGCGGGTGAAGGCATCCATCTAGGAACATCCCAGGAATCGTCAGTAGTGCCAAATATGACTTCTTTCCTGATATGTTGAGCAATGTCCGCAGGGAAACATTGCGCTAGAAGTTACTCATCCCAGGTATCATCCACTCTCAATTCAGCTACTACCTACATATCTTCATTGATTGTATAGTCATTTGGAACAATATGGTACAGAGCTCCCATACCAGTCCAATTCTCATGCCAAACATTAGTAGAACCCCAATTTATTTCCTATAGTATTTCATGCTCCACCTCTTCCCTAGCCTCTAACATTTTCCTCCATACATGAGATCCTTGTCTAAATTGGACAGTTGTCGGGATTTCCTTTTTACAGTACTTGTTCCACATAAAGTTAGACCATAAGGACTTAGATGTCCTAAACTTCCACCACAATTTGGCAAATAAAGCTTTTGATACATCATGTAGTGATCTAAAACCTACACCCCCTTCTTCCTTTGGTAGGCATAGATTTTGTCGTTTTGTCCAATGTCTACTCATACCTTCTTCCTTGGTACTCCAGAAGAATCTCGCAAAGGCTTTATGAAGGTGTTCAATTACACATTTAGGAGGGTCAATGACAGAAATAATGTGCATTGGCATGCTCTGTAGGACACTAGAGATTAATGTAGATTTTCCCCAATAAGATAGTAGCTTCCCTTTTCCAAGAGTGCAGTTTTGCCTTTATATTTTTTATCAGGTCATTGTAATAATCCTTCCTTCTTCTTGTGTAGAATATTAGGCAACCAAGATAGGTGAATGGAAATTAACCCTTTCAAAATCCAGTGATAGTACCTATCGAGCTGGACACTGTTGAGGAAAAACTATAATGCATATAAAAGGAACTCTTTGTCTTATTGATCATTTGGCTGAGGTGTGCTCATACTTGGACAAAACTTCTACAATTTTCCTTAAAGAGTATGGGTCAGCAGAGGAAAATATTATAGTATTGTATGCATAGGCCAAATGATTTAACAGATCAGTCCATTTAGGCATCCCAAAGCCCTTGAATCTCGTGTATTCAAATAGTTTATTTAACGATCTAGACAGAACCTCTAAAGAGAGAATGAACAGGGCTGGAGAGAGAGGATCTCCTTGCTTGACCCCTCTTGTTGAGTGAAAGAATCTTGATGCTTGACCATTAATCAGAACAGAATACCAGTTGTTGGAAATTAAATTCCATATCATGTTGATGAAGCATTCTGCAAATCCCATTTTCCTCAAAACATGCATTAGATACTTCCATGAGACCCTATCATAAGCCTTTGTCATGTCAAATTTCATAACTACATTAGCAGGTTTTTCCGTTAATCTTATGTCAGTAACAATCTCTTGTGTTAACAGAATGTTTTCAGATATACTTCTCAGTTTGACAAATCCTAACTGATTGGAAGAGATCAAAGAAGGCAGTATTTTTTCCAGCCTATCATGAACAACTCTGGAGATAACTTTATTTACAAAATTGCTTAAGCTAATCGGCCTTAGGTCGTTAAATATTTGAACCTGTTATTTTTTTGGTAGCAATACAAGGTTTGTGTGGGTTATATACTTAGGTAAGGAACTTCCTCCATAAAATAGTTTCAGCATCGCATGTATGTCTTCCCCTATTATATCGCAACATTCTTGAAAGAAAATGGCTATGAAACCATCTGGCCCACTTGCACTTTCACCGCTCAGTGCAAAAACTGTTGCCTTTACCTCCTCTATTGTAGGAATTCTACAAAGTTCTATGTTTTGATCACAAGCCACCATTGAGGGTACATTGTTGAGGAGCTCAGGCCTTGTATGATCAGCTTCTTGTGTGAACTGTTTTTGGAAAAATTCAACTGCTACGTCAGCCATCCGTTCTTGCGACTCAATCAAGTTACCATCATGGTTCTGGATTCTCTTCAGTTGGAGTTTCTGCCTTTTACCATTGACATGGTTATGAAAGAATCTAGTGTTTCTATCTCCTTCTGCAAACCAGGACATACCTACTTTTTGTTTCCAATATTGTTCCTCTATGCTCAGATATCTCTTTAATTCGGATTGTGCCTTCTGAAGTACAATTCTATTCTCAACTATGGGTTCTACTTCAAACAGCACTTCCTTTATTCTGACCACATCTTCCCTTAAAGCTAGTTGCTTGAAGATGTCCCCGTAAGTGAGCCTACTCCATTTTGAAAGAGCAATATTAACTCTTTTTAATTTCTGTTTGAACATCCATAAGGGGTCACCTGTGACGTCAGCCTACCAATTCTATCGAACCACCTCTTTAAAAGAGGTATGTTTTGTCCAGAAATTCAAAAATTTGAACGGTTTAGTAAATGTGGTAGTCGCGTCACCACAGGTCATAAACATAGGTGCATGATCCGAACCTGTTCTAATAAGATGTTTGACCTCTGTAGTTGGGAATAGAGATTGGAATGGGGAATTAACAAAGATTCTATCTAGTCTTTTAAATATGCATTCTGCATTTGGCCTCCCATTCCACCATGTGAAGGGACTTCCTTTGTACCCAGTGTCAAAGAGTTCACATGAATTTACACAGAAGGCAAAGTCTTCATATTCTGGAAGGTAGACTGGAAGCCCTCTAATTTTCTCTTCTTCACTCAAAAGCACATTAAAATCCCCTCCAACTAGCCATGGTAGTTTCATATCACTTATAAGGTAGTATAAACTGTCCCATAATTCTAGTATGTCCAGTGCTGAGCACTTTGCATATACGAAAGTCATCATGATATATTTATCAATATCTTGATGATAGACTCTGATAGTAAGTTGTTGTTCCGTGTCAATTACCAATTCCCACTGCACGACTAAATCCAGAAAAAGCCATATCTTGACATTGACATTTGAAATGGCAACATCCATGCCAAGTCTCCTCCTCTAGTTTTGAATAAATCTTTGATTTTGAAAAGGTTCCATAAGTGCTATAACAAAAAAAATCCATGTTCCCTTTGCATGTTGATAACTCTCTGAAAGGCCTGCTGTGTCTTAACAGACCTAATATTCCATATGAGTGTTTTAATCATCATCTAGTCGTGGAGGCTGCCCTTTTGGGCAGTATTCTTGTAGGTGGTAGGTGTTCCTTTAATTCGTTTTGCCTCTTTCCTTTCTTCCCCTGTTTAGTAGACAGCCTAGGTGACAAATCTCCTTCTCTTGCAATAGCCTTGAAGTTCCCAGTAATAGATTCATTGTTACCTTCATCTTCTATTTGCTCTCTATCAACCAAGGCAGTATGAAATTCTATTGGTTGTTGGTTGTGTGTAATAATGTCATGCATTACATGATTTGGAGATTTCAATGGTACACTTACTTGGATCTATATTGGAGATCCTGTACCTGATGCACAAGCCATAGATAGTATATTAATTACAGTTGACTCCTGTGGTACAATAATTGTACCATTCTGTTCATATACAACGATAGCATCCTTCCCAACCACATCTTGGGGTTCTGAAGCATCATCACTGACTATTTCATGTGGTGTGGTTGCCACTATTGGTCCTTGAACATTGGCTAGTAGTTTTCCAGTTGTGTTGCTGCTCAACGCATTGTTGGGTAACGTATTGTGAAACTGTTCTGGAATTGGCTTTTCCTTATGATCATCAACTCTGGATATTGTTTGTTTCCCTGACCCATAACTCTTCAGTTCAGTCCCTAGTTGTGCATATCTTGTTGTATTGCCATTAGACACAGGGGATTCCATACATGTCTGTGCGGGCATATCCTGGCATGAGTGGTTGAGTGTAACATTAAGGACTTCCTTATGCATTCCAAAACTCCTTTGAACCCATTTAAAAGTATTTTCCTTTGTAACATCTGGTGTTACCCCATCAATTGTAGCAGTATTGTTTGTGCCGATTCCTGGGTCTTTTGGATTGTCACTGGATTTGTCAGCAGTCCTGATATGTTGGATCTCTTGAATTATGTTTATTTCCACTATTTGATGCTTGTGATGTTTGTCGTTTATCTGGTCCTTGCCATTGCTATTTCCATCAGTTGCAGCATCAATACCAGTATACCTGGCACTTGGTTCTGCCATATTCTCCAGAGCACTTGTTGTTACAATTTGAGAATTGGTCTGTGAGCCATGGTTCTGAGCTTTTGTGGTTATCTGTTTTGCATTCATTTGTTCATAAGACTATTTGTGTTTCTCTTGCTTGTTGTTTTAGTTGATACCCTTGAAATTCTTCTTCTTCTGAGATTGCCATTGATCCTTGGAGTGGTTTGCATTTATTGGTTGATGTGTTGTAGTTTTGATTTTGCCCAGTTGTTCTTCATTTTGGTCTTGTACCACTACTCTTTGGTTGTAGTTTTGTTCTTTGTGTTGCCCTGGTATGCTCTGCTCCTTTTGATGTTGTATTCTATTTGCTCCTTAAGTATTGTTTGATATCTGTTTGGTTTTATTTTGTGGGGTTTCAGTAGCTACTTTTTTCTTGTCTTCTTCTTCTCTTTCTCGAATAGGGCATGAGTAGTCTTCATGTCCTAAGTGCTTGCAGTGTGAGTAATATGTTGGGAGATCCTCATATACCACTTCTAGCCACTGTCCATCCCCATTGACATCCTGATCTTCATCAAAACCTAGCCAAACATGATGAGGCCTGAGTTGAGTCAAGTCAACCTGCATTTTAACTTTAGCTACACTTCCTCTTGTTTTCTGCATAGAGGCTAGGTCGAGATGCAATACCTTCCCAATAGGAGATAACAGTACAGATAGGGCCTCCATGTAGTAAAAATACCATGGTAATTTAGGAATGACTATCCAAACAGGAACAATTGGGTTATCCTCATTCGGGTTGAAGTTGGGTGTCCAAGCTTGTAGTTCCATTCTTTGACCTTGTATGTACATGAAGGTTTTTTTCCAGACAGTTGTGTGATCGTACTTATTGTCTAGATCAATGTAAACTGTACGCGCATTGAAATGGGCTATTTTAACTCCTCCTCTCAGTTTTGTTTGTGCTATGAAACTTCTCCTGATCACCTCCATTCGAGGCATTGTGTTAAGGAATTTCCCTACAATTGTAAATTGGCATCTGGATGCAAGTGTGATCATGTAGTCCTTCCTAGTAAATATGACAGCCGGTTGGCCCTATTTGGTAGTTATTTTTGGGGGTGTGAAGTCTATTGGGGTTATTTCTGCTGCTTGCCTTGCTCTTAATTTTGTAGCAAGTGAATGAGTTATGGTAGGAGGTGATGGGGCATGATAATTAGTTGGTTTAGGTGGCTGGGCAGTAGCTTCTGTTTGGTTTAGTTTGGTTGCTGATTTTGTTGAGTAAAACTGGATACTTTGGTGGACATTTGCAGGTGGTTGTACGGAGTGTGTGTGTTTTGGTATATAAAAACTGGTTAATATGTTTGGATGTGTATTTGCAGCAGATGTACTGATTGTTTGATTATGGTGTTTGGTATGTTGTGTAATTTCTTTTGATGTTAGCATCTGAGTGTTAGTGTGATGGTGCTTAGTCTTAGTATTATTTTTATTCTGGAAAACAGGTGGTTTGTCAAAGTTGGTGGAGATCTTAGGGAAATTTGCTGGCATTGATATTTGATTGAATTGGGGATTAGTTTGAGCATTGATATTCCTAGTTAAGTCAGTATTTGTTGTATTAGACACATGTGCTGCCGAGACATTAACTGAAGATGCCAAGTTTGTTGTTGTAGTAATTGGATGCCCTTGAGTAGTAGGAGTGGTTGCGATTTCCTTTTCCTTATCAATAGAGATTATCTCGACAGGTGAAGCACAGAGAATTCCATGGGCAGTCAGTGAATCACTCAACTTTTTCGCCAGTGGTCGAGTATCAATGATACCAACTGGAGTTTGAGCCTGAACCTTCTGGCGACCTTCAGCAGCATGTGGATAATTTTTTTTTCCAGTTGAGTTTCCACTGGGGCTAGGACATTTGAAGTACCAAGGACTCCATGGGTGTCATGTGGCGCTGTAGGTGACTGCCTTTTACCGCCCTTATTTGTTGTGTTTTCTTTCAAATTCTCTTGAGGACTAATCTCAACATCACTTTGTGAAGCAGAATCATTCATATGTTCATCAACATTAACATTAAAACTGGCCCTGTTATTTCGTCGAGCAGATGGCATGTGTGATTCTGTGTGTTCTGTATTCTGCCATGTTGATTCAGGTTGTTCATCGTGGTTGCTATTTGAAGAGTTGGGATCAGTATCCAGATCAATTGGAGTATAGTGGCATTGGTTTTGAACATTTTGGATATCTGTCACCCTATGCGCAATCAAAATCTGAGTGTTGTCGTTGTACATATGTGTAGTGTCGTTGGTTCGTTGTTGATGTTGTCTGAAACTATGTGTATCGATTGTAATTGAGGTGTTGAGTAATCTCCATGGTTCTGAATTGGCTGATTTGGTTTAGAAACAGTACAGTACGTTGTAGCTGTCTCCAGTTATTTTTTTGTCATGTTTACAGATCCGCCATTGTTGACAGTTGCAGCAGATGGGGAAGAAGCAGTAAGAGCGACCATATGGGGTTTGTGTGCAGAGTTGTTATGCGATTGTTGGAGCTAGTCCGGTGGCTTTTCACCACCGGACGATGGCGCAGCGACCATTTTGTGCGAAGTATTATTGTTTTTGTTGGTCGCCTCTCTAGAGAAAACTAGGGTTTCCTATTGGTATAGAGAAAATATCAAAGACTTAAGCTTGGGGGAGTTGATAAGTGTGATTTTGACCACTTATTAGTACCTTTTTACTTTTTTTTTAGTTCAAAAGTATTGATTTATGTTCCCAAAACTAATGAAAATGTGCAAATTGCAGGAATATTGGAAATTTGGGCTCTTATGAAGAAATCGGACTCAAAAAGGGGTGTTCTAACTCACAAGGCAAGAAGCGGCGCAACATACAAGAAGTGCAGTCTGCAGAAGTATTTTTGCAGTCGCAGAAGCAAGTGCAGACCATAGAATTCCCTCTGCGGCCGCAAAATTGATGAAGAAGCCGAGCAGTACTTGAAGCATAAGTGTGGACCACACACAATTTGTGCGGCCGCAAAACATGTTCCGCACTGACAAGAATTCAAAAAGTTCAAAGAGTGTGCAACTGACCAAGACTTGAAGCCTTGCCTGAAGTGTGGACCGCACATAAATTGTGCGGCAGCAGAAGCTAAATCGCAGCCGCAGACCAAATTGTACGACTGCAGAATCCAATCTCCTACAAACCCAAGCAATGTGCGGACCGCACAAGAACTGTTGTCCCATTAACATAGTCCAAAAGGCAACCAAAATACTCTCCGTACAAGCGACCAAGTTGAACAATAACAGTGCATCGAAAAATGGATAATGCTCCTCCGTCCGGTGGTGAAAAAGCATCGGACCAGTCTCAAATTAACCCCCTACAAAACGCACATAACCTCCAATAAATGGCTCCCTCGGATTCACTCCTGGTATATACAGGTCTTCCTTTTGGCACGCCAGTCACTGTAGCAGATAATCGCATAGGAGGAGAGAAAGCGTCTTCATCCATTTCTAGGTCAAATCGAGTCAATCCAAGGGCTATAGAGTTTTCTCCAGGTCAAGATGTCGATGCCCACAAATTTTCAAAATATTTTAACATGAGAATTGAGAGGCCCAACCAACTAAAAATCTATGGCGAACAATAGTTTATCGCAGATGGTGTTCCAGCTGCTCAAACGAAATGAAACCAAAGTGAAATAGTTCCTGCTACCATAGAGAATGTTCTCCAACCAATGCTAGTGGACTTCACTCAGCCAAAGTCCACAACTTTACAAAAAGGTAACACGGCTGAACTGAGCAACCAAAGTATTTGACCAAATGCCACAACCAGATCCACAGGCTCACTTGTGATGCTCGATAATGAAAATCAATCAATTAATGATAAGGAAACGTGGAAATGAATGGTGGGGCAACTACTTCATCGAAATTGGGCGACCAAGCATCTCAAGCTTCACAGGAGGTCATCAATGGCATCCCAGCAGTCCAAGGTGATCACGTTGATTTGATTAATCCTCTAGATCTCCCCCCTCCCCTCNACCAAAATTAAGCCAAGATCATGCTAGACCTAAACCTTCATAAGTCTTAAGCAACCAAGTACTGACCCAACCCAAACCTACAATTGATACCATTAACCCAAACCCCACCACCACAAGTAACCTGACCCTAGGCAACAAGGCTAACAGACCACCTGCAAATACTACTTCCTAGAACAAATCCAAGGTTACAAATATTCAGGATAACCAGGGAAAGGCACAGTCCAAATCTCCACAACCAAAAGTATCTGCTAACTTTGATAGACCATCCAAATATACTCCTCCCAAAATACCTAATCATACCACTCTAAGCCAGGAACCTGCACACAAATTGTCTCACCAAAAGACCAAGCCATGAAACCACAAAACACCCCTGAACCCTCTCCCCTCCCCTCCCCCCCCCCCCCCCAAACCCAATTGTAACCCATTCACTTGCAACCAAAATGAGAGCAAAAATGGCTCAGGAAAGAACTCTAATTGAGTTTACTCCTCCCAAGATCACTACTAAACAAGAAAATCCTACAGTGATATTCAAGAAGGATGACTACATGTTTAAGTTGGCTGCAAGGTGTCAATACATTGTGGTTGGAAAATTCTCTAACACAATGCCCAGGATGGAGGTCATTAGAAGGAGCTTCATTACTCAGACAGAGCTCAAATGTGGATTGAAGATTGCTCATATCAATTCCAAGACAATGTATATTGATTTAGACAATGAGTATGACCATGCAACAGTTTGGAACAAGCGTTATATGTATATTTAGAGTTAGATGATGAAATTGGAAGCTCGATCTCCACTATTTAATCCAAATGAAGACTCTCACATTGTGCCTGTATGAGTGGTGATACCTGAGCTCCCATGGTATTTTTATTATATGAAAATTCCCACCCCTCTGCTATATTCAGTAGGAAAGGCACTATTTTTGGACTTAGCATCATTTCAAAAGACCAGAGGCAGTGTCGCAAAAATAAAAATGAAAATTGACCTTACAAAAGATAGACCCTCTCATGTATGGCATGGTTTTGATGAAGACCAAGATGTAAATGGTGATGAAAAATGGTTGGAGGTACAATATGAGAGCTTGCCTGAGTACCGTTCTTACTGCAAACACCTTAGTCGCCTCTCTCGTGCCTGCACCAAAAGACTGAAAGAGGAAGATATGCAGAAAAGACTAGCTATTTCCTCTGCCTCTGCAGAGAATAACCCAGATATAAGTACAGGATTAGCTGGAGCTAAACAACCACCACATCATCCCAACCAAGGTAAGCAGCAACAGCAAGTGGAGCAGGATCACAGTAACATGAATCAAGACACAAGAGACCAACAAGAGAAGACACACCTAATCACAAGGAATCAACCTCCAACTAAGGACTGGCAGACTCAATAGAAAAGAAACTTCAAAGGAATCCAGAAGAATAATACTAAAAAGACACAAGATGTTTATATCCCAAAGCAAAACACCAACAAACAAGAAGAATTACCATCACAAGAGCATCCAGCCACCCAAAGCACAAGTATAATAGCTATCAATCCTCCAGCTCCACTGGAGAGGAGTGCTGATTCTGTGGCTCAAAATCATCCCAATCCCTCTACTCCCCCTACTGCTAATGTTGATTCTATTGAAGTTATTAGAGGAAAGAAGGATGGTTAGGAGAAACCTATAGTAGTTCAGGATGGGGATCCAAAAGGGGTGGATGTTCCTCATGTTTTGCATGAGTGTGTTGTGGCACCTGGTGACTCTAGGATGGACCAAATACCTCCTGCTACCACTTCTCAATGTCCAGGCATTCAGGAAACACCACATACACAAGTAGAGACAAGTGTTATTTCTATTTCTACTGATGGAGATCACAAAAATATTGTTGACAAAGGAAAGACTACTGCTATTTCAAAGATTACTATAACAAAACCAAAAAATAACCCTTGTCAGAAAAAGAGAAGGCACATGAGGAAATAAAAAAATGCACAGAGCCTTCTCAACTCTACAAGTGCT